ATCACATATAAAAAACCACATTATTTGCTCTGTGTGTTTCAACTGTGTGTTTCTGTGAGCATCAGTGTGAAACCATCATCATGTCTCTTAAACTGGACTTTGTGAATGAGCTGGATCACAGACAGCCGTTTCCATGGAAACCGGTTTAGCTACTGCAGTGCGGCCATTAGCCTCCAGCTAGACGCCCTACGTTGATCATCACCCGGTTCTGGTCCGGTTTCAGCCCGGTTCGGGTGCCAGCCTGCGGTCAGTCCCGCTTCAACAGCCGGTCGGACAAGTCTATAAAACCACATTTAGACATTCGGACTTATCGCTACCTCGGAAATCTGTTCACATTTCTGGCACACAGTTTATATCGCTGCTGTAATTTACCTGCTTCAGGATATTTTTGATAAAATCATGTTTGAGAAAATACAGCGAGAAGATGTACATCTAAATTAAACGTCAACTTTTCTACCCCTCTGTTTGTGACTGCTCGGTACCGCCCTCCGTGTGGGAGCGACCAGACGGACCCGGGTTCAGAAACACCGACTCTTTATTAAAATAATTGCTTGCTGATGTGGGAAGTGTAGGCCGAAGTGAGTGGGACGATCCGTTTCATCAAATATGCCATTTCTTTAAGGTCTAGCGGACTGCCAGGTTCACCCATGAGCACAGACGCAATACAGCGCTGAAATTTTAACGCAGTTCGGCGTGACGCTCCTACCGCACAGAGCACCGCAGCTGAGGCGACTGGAGAAGGTCTGGATTTTATCTCAAGTGGGCTTTTTGACTTCTTATCTGAGCCGAACTGGAGAGAAGACCCCGTCGATGTGCTCGGTGCCTCGTTTTTTTCAAGATCTCGCTTGTTCTTTAGTAACGATATACTGTAATGTGAGTTTTGAACGGAGTCTGGCGTAAGGACGGAGCCAGCTGATGTAGCGTCTTTTGGAGATGTGTGCTACCTGCTGGTACCCCGACATCAGAAGTGATTTCTACATATACGATACCTCTTTGCTTTAGATTTTAATGGACTATTTGCTTTACTGGACTGGAAATAATAGTTAAAACCTTTATTTCGTTAACAAAGTCTGGTGTGTTGTTTCCCCCGCATAAAAAAGAGCGAGGACTGGTTTGGAAAGCGTCCCGGGGATGGTCGCTGACATCGGCAGGCTGTGGGATCTGCTCCCTGCTCTCACTAACAGTCTGGGATGTTATAGATGTACCTCAGAAAAGTGGAGATTTTACTGAAATAGTGGCAGCTCGGAGGACGTTGTGTGCGCCGAATAGAAGAGTGGACATTGTTGATTTGTAATATGATCGATTTGGAACCTCTGACCATCCGCTTCGCCTACAAATGAGCGAATGAATGTTATATTATTAGACTTTTGAACGGAGTCTGGCGTGACGTTCCCTCCGCCGCGGACAGATCGAGCAGGGATCTCCTTGGAAACGGTTAGTGACAGTCCCCCGCCCCTCCCGCCCCCTCCTCTCATCAGGGATGGTTGGTACTGAGATCTGCCGCCTGCTCTCCCACTAACAGCCAGTAGCAAACTGGGCCGCTTCCAGTGAGCAGATGTTCCCCAGCAGAATGGCTCTGAGCCAGTCCAGCCTGCTGTGCGGTCCGCTGGAGGAGCTGCAGGAGCTCGCCTTCATCGAGAGGCCGATCCGCAGGAGCCTCAAGGTAGGTGTGCATGTCAGCTTGTCAGGCTTAGATTGACATTTTCACATAGAGTCGTTCACACACACACACACACACACATGATGGAGGCGCACATGTGTCCAGCACATGTGGGAGACATGAGAAAGTGACGGTGGTGATGGTGATGGTGATGATGAGACATGTTGGATGAGTCAGTGGGAGGAAGATCAGCGGCCTTCATGCAGGAAGCAGAGGGGAGACCCGCTATCTGCGCAGCATGACGCAGTTTGTCCGTCTGTCTCTCCGCCTGTCTGTCTGTCAGCGCAGAGAGACAGACAGGTTTCAGGATCTCCTCCTCCTCAAATCCAGTCAGCAAAGAAATCTGAACATCATTATGCAGTAATCATCATGTTTGCAGTGCAGGCTTGTGTGCACAGGAGGAGTTGAAGCTGTGAACTAATGCATTAATAAATAATCAATGCATGATTAAACAGATCTGTGAGAGACAGCTGCACAGTGAAGGCTGCAGACTCAGAATGAAAACACAGAAACACAAATGCTGACCAGTTCATCATCATTCATCCAATTAAATTTAATGTATTTATTTTTGGAAGGATTGAAATCGAGTTTTGAGTCAAAGTGTAATTTGTGTAAAGAGGAAAAAAAGAAAACACTTAAAACAAGCAGATTTTTAATCAGGAAAAGATACAGAGACATGAAGACATAAAAAGACAGAGACACACAGACAGCAGGACAGATAGAAACACCTGAATCACAACGAAACAGGATGGAAGAGAATGGAAAAGATATGTATGATTCTTAATTAGACAGAAATATTCAGGATCAATAGCTAATCAATAACAGAAATCAGAAAACAATCTGATGTCACATTCTACACCTGTAGCTGTGGGGGCGGGGCTTCGGGGGTGATTGTGTCACGAGGGGGCGGGGTCTGTGGGTGTTCTTATGGGAGAAACCCGACGTCATAATGACGCAGTCACACACCCCCGTCTTCTCCCACACACTCTCACACACACACACTCACACACACACTCTCACACACACACACACACACACACACACACACAAACATGCACACAGAAACACCTGTTTGAGTGTTTTCATGCAGACAGATCAGACAGATCACTGCTGAGTGATGAGTCGACTCGCTGTGTCTGTTGTTCCCCATCAGACTGCAGAGGAGATCGATCAGCTGACTGTGGACGAAGACCTGAACGACATCGAGAGAGCCGTCTACCTGCTCAGGTGAGATCTGACCTGCAGTTTTAGGAACATAAGTGAGGCCTCTCATCTGTGGAGTTTAAACCAGGTGAGAGAGGCAAACCTCAGAGCAGGACTCCAGGCTGCAGCCTCGCTTGAAGCCTGCACTATGAAGCACATTCATTATAACAAGGATATCTGTTCTCTACCTGGTTTCACTCAACCTATCAACCACAGTTAGGCCAAGTGTTCGCATGGAGCCACTGGTTCAGTCAACTCAGGCCTTCTGAAACTGGCCATGAGGGTGTTCATATAAAAGGGGCCGCACCAGATGACCAATTACAAAACATGTAAATGTCTAAAGACGCATATTTCTCACAAGAAGAGCAAACGATAAGCTAAACGAGGACTTTAAAACTATAATGAGGGATAAAAGCAACACATCTGCCGAAGCCAAAGGCGGAAAAAGAAGCTGGCAAAACACTGCAGACTGTGTGAATGTGTAAGTTAACAAGCTCATTAATCTCACAGCTCATCATTAAAGGTCCCATATGGCGAAAATCCATTTTTATTGTGGTTAGTGGTTGTTATAAACTTGGAGGTGTAGAATAAAATCTGTTAACATATGAGGACATTCCTCAAGATAGCCTCCCAACTAAAAAGCCAGTATGAATTGTACTGCCCGGCCACATACCAGCTGAAGAACTAATAGTCGTCTCGCTCAAACTTTGTATAATCCTCCCCCTCACTGCCTGCTGCTTCTAGGTAAGACATTCAGAAAGAGCAGCTGCCTCACAGTCCACCAGGTTTATTTACTTTCTAGAGCTGTTTCTGTTAACTCTAAAATGTCTCAGCCACAGTCAAAGCACACCATATTTCCTGCTGTTGGCTGCAAGAGTGAATACAAGAGTCCTCATGCACTCCCAGTATCTGAGAAACTGAAGATCCGATGGATTATTTTTGTTATTAATGGCAATGTCACCACAGTTACAGGACAATTCCTAGTGTTGGCGTGTTGTGCCGCTAATGTGGCTAATGTTACCATTAGCTGTGATCAAATGCTTTAAGTCAGAGCTGTGTGAAATTGAACAAATAAGTATGAAATGGTGACTTAAATGCAGACCATGTAGACTACATGTTAACCCGCAGTTACTTCAGAGTCATTTTTAGCTCTGCACCACAAAACTGCCGAATTTATAACCACGCACAGTTAAACAGTTAAAAAATAACAGCTGTGTTGTAAATTCTTAGAAAGAAAGTTGGAAGCAGTAGAAAGTCCTGGTCTCACATATTCATTCACGTCAGCGGCAGCTGCCATGTGGTCATCTGTTTTGCTTTTTGCTGGCAATCACAGATTCAAAGAGAGTTTTCTTCCTGAAGGCGTGGACAGCAGCTGCTGCATTTTAAGCTACAGACACTGAAACAGCCTGTTTAAAACAGGAGTAAAACCAGGGGTTATACAGTCATGGTGAAATGAACCATGTTTGTGGTATATCAAGCTGAAAAACAGATTTTGTGGACATGTAAAATTTTCATTTGTTTTCTCCTAAGGGACACAATATGGGACATTTAAGGGATGAGTAGATCTGATTAATTTTAGCTCTGCTGCTTAGATGTAGCCTCTTCTTTTGGCGTGTAAGACAATTTTAGCCTTATTCTTTTAGTTACAGCCCAGCAGTCTGAACTAAGTCTCGAAGCAAGTAAAGAACAAATATAAAAACTGAATTTATTCCCCAGTTAGTAGGCTGACTGCAAAGGTCAAAAGGATTTAGTTCTTTAATCTGTGAGTTTTAGGACTATATCACTAGACAACGGCCTATAGATCAATTAAATGGCTTTGAAATTATTTGCACTAAACAGGAAAAAATAAAACTGATTAGAACAGAAGTGCTGTCTCCTGAGAATTTATATGTCATATCTGTGCTCATCGGGGAAAGAAAAGGTTTTTGACCCATTCTACAAATTCTTGCTTTCCTCTGAGACTCTCTTATTATCTTTGCACTGAGCTACACATGATCTTACAGGAATGGTGATGCAATTTTCCAAGAGAACTGGTCAGTAGGCAATGTATTTATACTTGTTTATCTTCTATCTTGAACATGCTCTGGAGCAGATTAGGTGTGCAGTGTGCAGAACCATTGTCATATAGCCCTAAAAACCCAGCATTAAACCTGAGGGCACCTCACTAACCCCAAACCCTGCTTGATAGTACAGGTCACAAGTTCCTCCAGGTTTTTTCAGACTGCTCCCCATCCAGATCTGGTGGCTCCACCTCTGGTTCTGTTTTGTAAAGAGATAACTTTAGAGAGTGATGAAGAAGAGTTCAGACTGAAAACCCTGACTGACATCTGGAGATCTGTTTATCTGCAGCAGGTGTATTTTACTCAACATAGAATAATAGATGAATAAAATTAAAACTAGTTCAAATAAGACTAGCTAATAACTAATGGTATTTTAAATAAATCTAGCTAATAACTAAAACTAGTTAAAATAAAGAATAAGAACTTGTTCATATGAGGCTAATAAACAAAACTAGTTAAAGGTCAAGGAGCTTAAATTAAAAAAACATAAATAAGACTAGTTAAAATGAGATAAATGACAGCGAGACTAGTTAAAATTAAAACGAGCTAAACTTGACACTTATGACAATAAACACTAATTAAAATCAGACTAATTACATTTTTAAGTATTTAAAAATATAAACAAGATTGATCAAGATTAAAATATATATAAAACTAGTAAGACTAAAACTTGTGACTATGAGTCCTTAAAATAAGAATAGTTAAAATAACTAGTACAATGAACACCAGTTGAAATAAGACTACTTCAAAATATACGTATTTAAACTTAAAAATGGTTACAATAAACACTAGTGAAAATAAGCATAGTCACATTTAAAGGTAGTTAAAATAAAAACACGTTAGTAAGTGAGACTAGTAGAAATAAACCAGTGAAGATAAGACTCGTTACAATAAACAATATTTAAAGTAATACTAGCTACACTGGTTTCATGTCAGTATTTTGGGTTGAGAAACAAGTAAACAAGCTTTTATAGGTGTGAAGATTTTCGGAGGCCTTAGGCGGAGCATAAGGCTTTCAGTTCTCCAGCCGTCCTCCTTCACTGTGACCCAGTAAACCCTGGAGCTAATTAAACACTGGAGGTAATCAGCAGTCCCATCCCAGAGGAGGTAAACTAGTTCACTGAACTGTTTCACAAACAGGACTGAAGGCTCCAGGATTCAGAGCTGGACAGTGGAGTTTAGACCAGATCTGAACCCAGAAACTGTCTAAACCTAGAGTCTAGCTGGACATGTGAGCCTGTCCTGGTTCCAGCTGTGGAGTCCCTCAGGGTTCAAGTTTGGGTCCTCGTCTTTTTGATCTGGAAACATTCCCGCTTCACATCCTGCCTTCTATCTGTCACCCTTCTGACTCTCCTCTGCCTTTATCTCTGCTCCTCAGCGTGGGTCAAGAGGTGCAGAGGGCCAGCGTTATCAGTAACCTGCCGAGTCTCGTCCGCCAGAATCCTGCTGAGACTTTTCGTCGGGTTGTACCAAAAGTTCGGGTACGTACAATCTGTCAGACTGCATGTCATGAGAATAGAAGGACAGGATGTGGACAATATTCCAGGACATTATAGGTGTGTACAGGTGTGTCTTATAGGTAACCTGTCCTGTTGTGAACCAGGAGGTCCTGAATGGAGCCGGAGGTGAAATCCAGCTGGCAGCAGCGGGGTCATTTTTAACCATCCTCCAGGACGACATCATCCTGATCCACACCCATACCTACTCCATCCTGAAAACTGTCCTGCTGCACCTGAACCATCGGGACACAGGTAACCCATACCTCGACCATAAAGACACAGGTAAAGACGCATCAACCGCCAACACACCAGGAAACACACCTTACTCACAAGGTGTTGACGTTGCTGTGTGAGTTGCTCATCCTGCCATCTTTGTTGACAGTGGTTAGCAACGCCTGGTTAGAGACTCTGCTGTCAGCCATCAACGCTCTGCCCAAAGAGACCATTAAACAAGAGGTCAGTTCCTGATTCATACTTTCCAGCAGAACTGTTCTGGATTCACCTGCCAGTAGTTGATGACTGATAAGGATTTACATGATTAAAGTGAGGGATTGCTTCGCAAACAATCTAAGCAACCAGATATAAAATTGCTTGATTTTTTTAAAGGTTTCTCTGCATTCAGTCCTGCTACATGACTGTACCTGCCTGCCTCATCTTCCACCTGTCTGTCTCTACAGGTGCTGAACCCCCTCCTGTATCAATCTCAGCTGTCTCACTCTCCTCAGGCTCGTCTGGCCAGCTGTCGCATTTTAGGGAAAGCCGCCTGCAAGTTTGATTCTCACATGTGAGCTGCAATACAGCATGTACCATTATATATTCTGCACACTCTAGTACTATAAATATATATTCACTGAACACTGGAGTACTATTGTAATATAGCAGATCTTTGCACATATGCTGATCAGGTGTCATTTCACCTGCTCTGATACTAACAGTGTTTCTGTGCATCAGAGTGAAGAAGGAGCTGCTGCCGTTTGCTCGTTCTTTGTGTCAGGACCCTGAGTTTGAGGTCAGAGCATGTATGTGCCGTCAGCTGGAGGGTATTGCCAGGGCCACCGGGTAACTGCAAACAAACACTGGATTAACCAAACAACAACCAAACAATGACTAAACACCAACCAAATAATGACCTTACAAAAACCCTTACACAGACCAAGACACAGCTAAACAGCTGGCAGACAAACACAAACCTAACACCAATCAAATGACCACTACGTAACAACCAAACACCAACCATTCAGCAGCCAGATGACAACCATACGTAAACCTAACACTGACTAAATGGTGATCACACAACCAAACCAAACACAAACACAGCAACAACTAACATTAACCCAACTCCAAATGAGTACTGAACACCAACCAAACAAAAACCTTACAACAACCAAAATTAAACAGTTTACAACAAAACACAGACCAAACACCAACAAAACAACACCAAGCACCCACAGAACAACAACAAAGCTATTATCTGACATAAACCTAACACAGACCTAATGGCAAGCAAACAACCAATTGACAACCAAACATAAACCTAACACTAACCAAACAATGACCAAAAAACAACCATACAACAATCAAACTTAAACCCAACACCGACATAACTCCAACATCCAGTGTGACCTGTTTGTCCTTTAGGGTGGATGACACCAGGATGGAGCTTCTCCCTGAGCTGGTGGAGCTTGCTGGAGACGAGGCGAGCACAGTCCGTCTTGCCGCCTTCGACACCATCATCAACCTGATGGAGATGATGGACAGCGGTGAGTCAGAATCATGGTGATATTAGCCTCTGAGTTCTTCAAACAGAAGAAGCAACTTAGTGATGCCGATGTCTATAAAGACCAGATCTTTCTCTTTAGACAACCGACTCCATGTCGTGATTCCCCTGGTAATGTCGGTGTGCGAGACCTCATCACAGGCAGATGAAGCCATTGTGGCGTCTCTGTCGTTTCAGTTTGGAAAACTCTGCAGCGGACTGGCAGGTGAGATTCAACACTGATGTTAAGAAAAAAAAAAAGTTGCTAGCCCAGAGGTTGTTATTATTGTTTACTGTATCGAGAGGGATTTTGAAAACTGTCATACATAGATAACAGAAAGAGAGGAGAAAGCTACATGCCATCGGCAGGCTTATACCACTGTGTTCATGCTGTGAGTCAGACGAGTCATTGCTAAGCAGAAGTTCAGAGAGTCGGATCTTCTATGAGTTCAAGAGTCAATGCTGCCTTGGGACTTTATAGTTCTGCTGAAGGACAGCAAAACCTGGAGAAGGTGGTAGTAACAGCCTCATCGCAACCAAAGTGCTGTTTTGTTATTGGTCTGTGTCAGTTGGATCATCACGTTTCTGAGGCTCAACCACTGGGTTTTAGGGTCTCTGTCAGATGAGCAGAAGGGTCGCTTACTGCAGAGGTTTAAGATGATGTGTGTCGCTGGACTGCAGACTGAAGGAAACCAGACTGATGGCAACAATGAGGCTACACTGATTCGCTGCAACTGCTGCTACAACCTGCCGGTACACAAACAAACATACGCTCAACCTCAGTTCCTCAGTTCTTTAGGTTTTGAGGTCACTTCCTTTTCTGTCCTTCCAGGCAATGGTGGTGTTTGCGGACTCAGCTCACTTCTTGTCAGAGCTCTACCCTTCTTTCTCCAGTCTTTGTAGTGACCCAGAGGTCAGCGTCCGGCGAAGTGCTGCAGCCAGTTTCCATCAGGTCAGATCACCAATACCACAGCTAACAGCTTAAAGTCGTGCTGGTGCCCCTGGTGTCTGCAGTCTCATTAAGGTCCATTAGGGGTTTGTCCTTTGTGAGCAAGAACTGTCCCTGTAATTAGACTAGCAGCTATTTTTGGTGGGAAATCAAGATATAAAAGTTAAAATTGAAGATAATTAATGAAAATGACAGGTCACAGTACCTAACTTTGATTGGCTGTCTCCTATGATGTCACATGATGCCCTGCCTCCTCTTGTTAGGTGGTGAAGCTGCTCGGTTCAAACGTCCAGCTCGTCCACAAGGAACTTCTGTGTCTGCTGCAGGATGATGCGCTGGAGGTGAGAGGGCACACACACCAATCAGGATGCATGGCTAAATTTCATTATTTTAATAATCTGTGATGTCACAGTGAAGAAATTTAACCACAATTTAGCCACAAGGAGCCGCAGCAGAGGCATGAAAGAGCCACCGCGGGTTGCCGACCCCTGTCCTAGTCAATAACCACAGTATTGTGCAATGATTAAATTCACCTACTCTATGAAATCCTTACCTGGATTTGAAGAACTGAACAGACTGGATAAGCATAACCAGGATCTGCAGATAAACAGAGGGGTCTGCTACATCAGATGGTCAGTGGGCAGTCGGTTCTCAGTGTGTTGGATGTGAAAAAATGTTCAGGTGTAAAGACCTGAACCACCTTGACAAGGACCAGATGGTTCTGCCTAGATGACAGGGTCAGAAACTCTGAAACATTGTGAGGTGCTCCAGGTCAGCAGTGGTGAGGACCTACTGACAGAAGGGGGACTGACCGAGAACCCGATACACAGTGTTTGCTAATCGTTTGTCAGTTTTCATGTAAAACACTTAGTGGGTCTAGCTTCATACATGTAAAGTTTGCTGCATTTCCTTTCAAATTATTTCAATCAGACTCTATGTTTTCTAATCATTTTGAGGTTTAGACTGTTGGTTGGACAAAATAAGCAATGAAGGTGTCATTTTGGGCTCTGTGTATTTGCAATGGCATTTCTCACTATTTTCAGAAATTTGACTTATACATACTGACTGTACACACTTTAAGTCATTTTAGCTGCAGGTCTTTTACTGGTAACAGTGTCTCATTAGCATGTTTACTTAAGTAAAGAATCTGAATACTTCCTCCATCACTGCTGTTTAGGTGTTGGACGCTCTGATGAATTACTTGGAGGAAACTCTGGAAGCGGTTCTATCCAGAGGAGAGAACCTGGCACTGGACAATAAGGTGAGAAACAAACCTCACTTTAACATGGTTTAATTTCTTTTCACATAATTCCTCTTGTTTTGTGGTACTTGATTTTTAAGCTGACTTTGAAACAGACTTTTCTGTTCTCCTGCATTGTTCTCCCTCTTGTGCCATGGTTCTCCTCAGTTTCCAGAGTTACTGTCGGCGCTGCTGTTAGCAGAACAGAAAGTTGGAGGTTCTCTGCGTTGGCGGCTACATGAGAAGCTGCTGCAGCGTTACTGCTGCCTGGCCAGACTGCTTCCCGGAGAACTGTTGTTCCAGAGCTTCTCCTCTCGCATCTTCATCATCCTCACCACTAATGTCAGCACCGCCAGGCACAACACCACACAGTACCACAGCTAAACCAAATGACAGACAGGTCACTCTGCTCTGCTTGTTGTCTTTGCAGAAAGTGTTGCCAGTGCAGAGGGAGGCGGCTCGTACATTTTGCACGTTTCTGCGCTACAACCGCAACCAGGAGCAACGTCAGGAGATGATGGAGCGACTGATTCAAGGTCAGAGCTTCTGCAGGTTTTTCTGATTCTTTCAACAGAAAAATCAGTGCCACTTTAATCAGTGAGAAAACCTGTTAGAACCGTTATCAGAATGTCAGACTTATTGTGTTTGTGATCTCAGATCTGGCTCAGGGCCGCAGCTACTGGAACCGTCTGAGATTCCTTGATGTTTGTGAAACTGCCACTGAGATTTTCTCCAGAAAATACTTTAACGAACACTTCTTGATCCCAGCTCTGGAGCTGGTCCATGATCCTGTCGCCAATGTCAGGTAGGTCCTCATCATTCTGTCCATTGAGACAACTGAAATCCTCCTGACATTACATGTAGTGCACCTGTCTGTCTGTCTGTCCACCTGTCTCTGTGTCTCAGATACAAGCTGTGCCAGTTGTTGCCCAGGTTGCGCTCGTCGCTCCGCTTGCCGGCTGACAAACAGCTGCTGCAGAAACTTGACTTCTGCGTCCAGAAACTTCTCTGCAGAGAGAAAGACAAAGACGTGGTGGCCACTATCCGCAAGGTAACACCTACCAGAGACCAGTCCAGACTGTGACTGTAACATTTAAACCTGCCAACCAGTTTATCCAGTTGAGGAATGAAAGTGATCAGTAATTAACTGTGTCCATCGTGTTTTCCAGACAGTGTTGGAACTGGACAAATTGGACCTGTCAGAACCTGTAAGCAGCCGGTTTAATGAAGGCCTGAACTGTCAATACATCAGGTCCACTTCTGTCCTGTAACATCTTTGTTGTCTTGTGTCTGTGAGCAGTTTCACAAGAGGCAAGAGAGGGACTTGCTGGACCAGAAGAAGGAGAAGGAGGAAACCCTTCTGCTAGAGATAGTGAGTCTGAGCCCGACAGCTGGTCTTCAGTTTTCAGCTGGTCTGCTTTGTTTTTAATGGCATCTGTTGTGTCGTCAGGAACAGCTGGAGCGCCAGCAGAATGATGGGAAGCTGAACTCTGACAAACATACGGAAAGAAAACGTGAGCTGTTCCTTTACTTTTTATTTAAAAAATCACAGTTTTCAGAGGTTAAGATCTACAGTCCAGTCTGAAAACCATATTTCATTGACAGGAAGAGACAGTAAGACCAGTCTGTCTGCCACAAAGTCCATGTCTGTGACTTCGTCTGGAGCAGTCACGTCCTCCTCTGGTGAGATGGACAGAATGAAGATGAGCTGCAACTGTTCCTCAGTGATGATGATGTCATGATGGTGATGGTGAAGGTGATGGCGCCATGATGTTAATGTTGATGATGATCCTCTGTGCAGGTAAAGAAATGAGGAAGGCTAAACTGTCTCGGAGTCGGTCCCTCAGCAGTCAACCAACGACGTCCAAACCTCTGAACTCAGACAGAACTCTGTAAGAATTCAGCTCAATTCAAATGTATTTATCAAACACCAATTTATAACATAAACTATCTTAGGGCACTGTAAAGTGTAACCACACAAAATATAAAGAGGAAGCCCCACAAATCCAGCAGTTCCATTTGAACAAGCACTTGGCAACAGTGCGAAGAAAGTACTCCCTTTTAAAAGGACGAAACCTCCAGCAGAACCATGCTCAGAGAGGCCAGCCTTCTGACTCAACCAGTGGGGCTGAGAGGAGAGCTGAGAGAGAAAAGATGAGCATAGAGAAAAAGACAGACAACAAAAAATAGAATAATAAATACTGAGCAGGTTCTTAAGGCAGCTAACCACAAATTAGACACATGTAGCTCAAGAGCCAGTCATACCTGCTGACTGGACAAAACACAAACTACAGGGGAGAGAAGACACAAAGTTAGTGACATGCAACGGTGGTATATAAATGCATGTAAAGAGAAAGAGAGGGAAGTAGAGGAATAGTGCGCAGTGCAACATGGGAAGTCTCCTAGCATCTCAAACCTATAGCAGCATAACTAAAGGATGGTCAAGGTTCACCGGATCCAGACCTAACTATAAGCTGTATTTAAAGAGAAAGATTTAAGCCTCATCTTAAAAGTAGAGAAGATCTCTGCCTCCTGAACTGGGAGCTGATTCCGCTGGAGGGGAGCCTGAAATCTCTGCCTCCCATTCTGCTTCTGGAAACTCTAGGAACCACAAGTAAGACTGCGGTCTGAGAACAAAGAGCTCCATTAGGATAGTGCTATGAATTCTTTCAAATAAGATGGAACATAGTTAGGTCAGCCTGTCTAGGATGTGCCTTCCCCTGCCCGAGTCAGCTGGGATAGACTCCAGTCCCCTGCGACCCTGCAGAGGATAAAGCTGTGTGTAGATAATGGAAGGATGGATAGATGGATGGAACATAGTCATTAAAAGCTTTGTGTGTGAGGAGTAGGATTGTCAATTCTATTCTATTCAGGATTTTACAGGGAGCCAGTGTAAAGAAGGTAATGTGGGAGAAATATGATCTCTGTGGGTGGTTCCCGTCAGAATTCTAGCTGCAGCATTTTGGATCAGCTGGAGGTTTTTAGTTATTACAACAACCCTGATCCAGCCTGAAGGCTACAAATGCATGGATTGGTCTCTTAGCATCACTTTGACACACAGTGTTCCTAATTTTGACAAATATTTTGCAGGCTAAAGCCTTGTTTTATGTGTGAGATAAAGGACACAGGCCAGTATAAAATAACTCAAATTTTCCTGGTAGAAAACTACAAGTCATCCCATCCAGGCCCTGATGCCTTTAAGACATGCTTTAAGTTTAATAGATCTAGCTGGGTGTCATCTGCATAGCGATGAAGGTTTATGTAGTGTTTCCTAATAATATTGCCTAAAAGGAGCATGACAACATTAATATATATATCCTTAGCACAGAATCATGTAGAACTGCATGGCTGACTTTTGTGCACATGTGAGGATCATTGTTGTCATAAACAAACTGGAATACATCCTAAAAAAAAATGATAGTGATGATAACCAGCCTATTGCAGTTCCTTTAATCCCAATGACATGTTCCAGTCACTGTAATAAAATGTTGTGATTATCTGTTTCAAATGCAGCACTGAGATCCGGCAGAAGAATAGAGATGAGTCCACTGTCTGAGGCTATGGGAAGATCATTGGTGCCTTTCACCAGTGTCTGGTTTTTTGCTATGATGTACTTTATATCTGAAACTCTTCAAACAAACGATTTCTGTGAAGATGGTCGTATAATTTATTTGAAACTGGGTTTTTTTTGGTTTGTTTTTTTTAAGATTTTAACAAAAGGGGGAAGTTAGATATAGGTCTATTATTGCCTAAAACACCTGAATTAAGAGTTGGCATATGGAAGTCCATTAACTGTGGTTTAACAACAATTTAAAAATATTTTTGGTGTTTCAGGAAAGTCAAAGAGCTGAGCAGTACATCCGGATCTGGGAAGTCATCCATGTTGTCCAGCAAAGGTACAGCCTCCCCACACAGCTGGAGCACTAACATTCAGTGACCCAATCACAATCTCCACCCTAAGGCCGAAGCACTAAACCCTCCCAGACTTAACTGACATCACAGCTGGAGTGTTTGAGTGTGTGAATTCATGAGGGCTTGAAATGGTATCAAAAAGGAGGAATGGGACACACTATCACAAAAGCACACATTGCTTGAAAACAGCATATCATCAATAATAGAAAAAAGTGAACTTCTGAGTTGTAGTAGTTGCTTAGTTGATCACTCCCTCTTTGTAGCAATACAGTATTTGTGCGTTTACAGAACTACCAAAAGTCAGGAAAGCCATGAACAGCTAGAAATCCTATGCAGATGTTAGACTAAAAATGCAAACAACTCTACAAAAGTGCAATAAATAACTACAACAGTGAACAGCCAGATGCTGTGCTGATTGATGAACTCCCTTGCAGATTTCTTCCATGCCATCCATGCTGGGTTTGTGTATAAATTGTGTTTTGTGGAGATGCAGGACAACCACAATTTTATATCAATAACTTCACTATGAACTATGGGCAAGTCCCTCAGGAAAGTCTGCAGATGTATGAACTTACAAAACAGGCACATAGTAGCGTTGAAGTCCACATCAGAGCCCTTATTTACTTGGCGATTTGATGTTGGAACTATCCAAAGCCCTCACACACTTAGTAGGAACTCAAAGTCCATTAATCTGTCAGTGTGGAGATTGGGATTGGGCCACATCACTTCTTGTGTCTCACAGATGACTCCTTAAGGACGGCCCACTTCACCATGGCAACCCAGTCTGCCGCCTCCATGCCGGTCTTGATCCGCAGCAACACCACTAGCCTCCTGGACAGGGCCAGTACTCTGGACCAGAGAGACCATAGATCCAGTACGCTGGACCACAGAACTAGTAACATGGACCACAGGAACAATATGATGGACCACAGAACCAGTACCTTGGACCATAGGACCAGTGCCAATGACCAGAGAGACTACAGAACCAGTACCCTGGACCAG